AAGTTTGTGGCAAGGTGTAACACTAAATTAGCATAAATATGTTACGAGCTAATTAAACAAATACTTTTGCGCGAATTGAATCGCTTTGCACGTTCAGAGTGGGTTTTAAGTCTCTGATGAAAAGCATTTCGTTCACCAAACAATCGAACTTGTTACTACACTTTTTCAGAATGCTAAAACGTTTCAGTAGGTCTTTCGGGACTTCGCTGTGCCGTTCGTGGTAGTGTTTATATATTGAAGATGCCTTTCGTTTATGTCCATCCACGCGTGTGTGTAAGTGTCCGCGTGTATAGCCCACATAACCCGCATCACACAGGTCACATTGAAATTGATAAACGACGCGTTGTTGGTTGACAATCTGTGGCTTGATTTCTCGTACTTTAAGATCTTGGCCAACTTTGCGGCTAACAAATACTGGCTGGACAGTTGTCTGCACCTTCATGCTAAGATTCTTGAGCTCTTTCTTAACATAATTTGCTGATTCCTGATCTTTGAAAGGTATGACCACACGAACAATGGATATTGGTTCTTTGGGCGTCTGTGTGGGCTGCGTACCAACAATTCTTGATTGTAAGAAGGTGTTAATGGTAGAATTTACCAGGCGTTCCGGGTATTTAAGCCGTGCGAAAACTTTCTTTAGGCGATCACACTCATCAGAGAAATGGGCCCAGGAGGAAGATAATCGGTGTGCGCGATCCAGCATAGTTTTCAGCAAGCTCCGTTTGTAGCGATTGTCTACATGGCTTTGGTAGTGTAATAGTAGGCCCGTGTTTGTTGGTTTCACATATACCTTGGTTTCAATCCGAGGTGCATGGTTGAGTAGTTCGGTGCCAAGGAAAGGAAGCTTGCTGTTCTTCTCCACCTCCATGGTGAATTTGACCGAAGTGTGGGCGCTGTTGAGGGTATGCAAGAAGGTAGTTGCTGTTGCTAGATCAGGCATTACAGTGAGTGTATCATCAACATATCGACGATAATAGGATGGGAGTTTTCTTTGTCGCTCAAGGGTATCTTCGATGGATGACATGAAGACGTTTGCTAATAAGGGCCCGAGAGGGGACCCCATAGCAACGCCATCTGTCTGTTCGTATAGAGCTCCGTTAAATTGAAATAGTTGGCCTTTGGTAGCTACGTTTAGGAGGTCAATAAGATCCGTTCTGGTAAGGGCACGATTGTGGATAGTATTGAACCAATTGTTCGAAAAGGCTCTGTTAACCAAGATCTCTATTGTTTCGTCCAAAGGCACGTTTGTGAATAACGAGGAGACATTATACGAAACCAAGATTTCACCCTTGTTGATCTTCAGCGCGTGAATCTCTTTTGTGAAATCAAAATTATTAGTAACTGTATACTGATTAAGGGACAAGGGCTTCAATTTCTCGTCGAGCCATTTAGCAAGGGGAAAGTTGTACGTGACGGTGGCTGATAACATAGGCCTCATAGCCAATTGTTCTTTGTGGGTTTTTGGCAACCCATATGAATGTGCCAATCTGGAACCTGTAGGGCTTAAGGAATCTGCAATGGTCTTCGGCAGAATTCTACGAACAATGGAATCAAGGATCTTCTCTTTTTGTAGTAGGGGGCGGTAATATTTGGATGGTCTGCTCCTGGTCTTGGGTTTCTCCAGGGGAACGGCACGGAACCTGCTTGTATCATTGACTGAGGCTTCAGAAAGTAATCGCAAGTATTCGGTTTTGTCCAGAACCACAACACCAGACCCTTTGTCGGGTTGAGTGATAACTATGTCGTCGCGTCCTTTTAACTCCTCGATAGCTCTCAAAAATGTCTTTGGAAGTTTCGGACTCTTGCATTCGATGTAATTGAGTGCAACGAAACGTAACGTTGCTGCAGATGATTCCTTTAAATTATCATCATTGAGGTGGGGTTCAAGGCTCCAATAGGCCTTTTCAAAGCTTGCTTTAACGTCTATGGCAGACACACGTTGAGGAATGGCAAATTTTAATCCTCGGCAAAGGACCTGTTTCTGAAAAAAGGAGAGGTTGTAGGATGACAGGTTCAAAATATGTTCGTCAACATCCATTTCGATGTTGAGCAGCCGTGAGATCTTCTTGGTGTGAGTATTCATAACTTCCTGATGATATTTCTTTTTAAGGCTAACCATAGTGCGGAGAACACAGGTGTAGCGAAGCAAACTACAGCTCCGGCGAATCTCACCGTAAATAGAATTGATCTCGCGTTTTAGATAAGCACTGTTTGATCTTTCCATTTAGTTCTTCAGAGATGACATTCATTGTAAAGGTTTCGGAAGGGTGCTTCCATTTAGAACGCCTTGCTTTGTCAACCTTAGCGAAAGTTGGAGCTCGGTCGAAGTTCTGACAGAGTCTGAGGAATTCGATTGAGCCATCGCAGTTAATCTGTTTCTTGCTACATTGTTCGAGTCTCCTGAACAAATGTAGGAAATTATCGCGTTTTAAGATTCTTATCAATAAAGATTTGGAAATGCAAAGACAAGCAAAAACCAACGATAAAAGCCGACGTTTCGGTGTCATAGTGGTATTTCACTGAATTTACAAGCCATTTATCGTTAACATCTTTTTTCAAAATTCCAAATAATTTTCTCGAGAAGGAAAATAATTTACACCTTTTACCTCTTTGGTGGCAAACTGAGAGGAATGAAGTGTGCAAACGAAAGCACTGATTTCAAGTGGAATAACATCGCGATTAATATAAGGTAAGTGCCTTGAAGTGTAAATACGTGTATTGATCGATACTTTATTCCTTTAAAAACAAAGAAGTGTTTCATGAAAAGTCCAAAAACAAGCGCGCGCGGAAAAAAAGTCTTTGCATTTGCTCACGTCAGCAGCGTACAGCGTGGGAAAATGGGGGATGCTAAATTGACCAATCAGAGCGCGCGCTTTACTTTGGTTATGTGATAATTGTATTTGCAGACATTTACTACAGGCAACTGCCATTAGCTGATTCGTTAGGATAAGCATTCGACTGAAATTAACTTTAAAGTTGATGGAAATATTCACTGGAGAGTTGTTAAACGATACATTGGAACAATCCACCTAGAACTCTTGCTGCTAGATCATCAATGTCGTTATTCATTGATGTTCTGTTATTGCCAACTACTGATGGAAGTGCAAGGCTGTTGACGTATATTTCTCGCACTGCATGCATGGACTGTCGCTGGCGTTGGCAGCTGTGAAAGTCGTCGTGGTACGACTGAAAACCCAGCCAACTTGCTTGACATCCTTTGTTGCTTTTCTAAAAGATTATGGCTGTAGATGGATATTGAACCCGGGTTGGCGTGACCTGTTAGCTCGGAGATTGTTTTTTTCTGGGCCGTGTTCACAGGATTTTCTCGCTTTCGAGTTGTCGCGAGCGAAAGAGGTTTTTCATGCCTCTCCAAGAATTTGAAGTTCAGTTCAAAACAAGGGAGAAACTCAGGCTCACTTTGAAAACGCTTTTTTTTGTTTCTGCTCTTTAGAAGGTGACAATGGTTTTGAAAAAAGTTTAAATTGACGTAGAAACCAAACTTTGTAACAATTTCACAATAGTTGTTGTGCTTACGTAGATGCGAAACAATTTCACATAGCCTCGTTTTCAACTCGCAATTCCACGCTAAATACCTCGCTCCGTTAACCAATCAGAACGCGAGATTTTATTCAATGATGCGATTCTATGCTGAAGAGGTCACCCTGGTTAAATAACATTTATCATTATTGTTATGAGTATGCTGATTGATATCAGCGAGTCCGCAACGTGATATGAATACTGGTCAGAGGATGTTTTGGTGCAACAGGCGTCACTTAAACACTTAATGTGGATGTCCGCTAGAACAACAATGCACCAGCGCAGTCAAACGATTGCATTGGAGGCTTATTACATTTGGGACCAAATGTTATAACATTTGGGATCAAATGTTATTACATTTAGGATCAAATGTTACAGCGGAACCTCGATTGAACAAGGTGGCGGGGACAGGGGTAATTGGTTCGTAATATCGAAAACCTCGATCCCACGAATTTGCGGAAAAGCAACCAACGTATTCGTTCTATCGAGGTATGGTTAATAATTTGTGTGTGTGTGTGTGTGTGTGTGTGTGTGTGGGGGGGGGTTTGAGGTTGTGCTTAAATGTCTATATGAAGCTACAGCGACTGCACAGGTCTAAACGGGGCAACAAAAGTTTTAACAATTGCAACTGGCTTGTCAAATGTCACAATGAATAACTCAACCGAACAGAGACTTAACGAAAGAAAACCACTTTCCTTTACTACTTAAATTGCTTATTAAGACGCTCAATCAAAAATTCTTCCTGTAAAAATTTGCCTCATTTTGTCATTCTTTAATTTACTACTAAATTGCTAATTAAGACGCTTGATCAAAATTTTTTTCTAATTGCATTGTATTTTGTCTTTCGTTTAAAAGCGCCTTTCACTTTAGAGAAAGAGCGCGGAAATTCCCTGTCTTTTTATGCGTGACGTACGATGGCACCCCAAACCCAATTTTTTTCGGCTGTACAGGTTACGACTATTTCTAGTAAGTATAGTCAATATGCATATCTTACCTCTCACTACCAGGGTGGTGTTTCGTGTAGCTCTGAAAGAATTGAGCGTAAGAAGAATGATAAGGAATTGGTAAACACCTTCATCTTCCTTAGTAACGTTATTGATGATCAGTGTCGCCTTTTCTGATCTGCTTATGGTAATGTGTGGTTTGAATTGCTCCTTTATCGAATTTGGTGGACTACTAAACGACAGAAAGGTCTTCTCTGCCACTTCAACAAGATGGGACGCAGTGCCTCGTTTCCACACCAAATTAATGGCTGTCTGTGAAGCAGTCTGTTCTTCTGTAGTCAGGTTGTAATCCCACTGTAGAGCAACTGTGGAACCATTCCAAACACAAGTGATGGAGTCAGGATACTTTGTCCACGTTAGACATTCTGGCAAAGAAAGAGAAGTTCATTTATTTCGTTGAGATCGTCGCGACGGTCTTAATCTGCAAAGACAATTTGTTGCTGTTGTTGCTTTTAAAGCTATTTTATATTTATCTTCATTTTTTCGGTGTGATCAGAACAGTGATTAAAATTATTGTACGGGTAACAAGCTGCCTACGGCTCGAATAAGAGTGACTTGGTTAAACCAGGCAAAATTTATTCGAATATGAAGTTTCAAAAGCAAGAGTAAAGAGTGAAATAATTTTGCAAACAACTGCGAATCTTACGTATATATGCACGATCCTTCGCAGTAAAGCACTATTTGAGCAATAGTGAAAATCAGACCTGAAAAAAATTTCAGGCCTGTACGGGATTCGAACCACTGACCTCTGCGATACTAGTGCAGCGCTCTACCAATTGAGCTAACAAGCCAACTGGGAGCAGGCCATCAAATTAATTCGACATAAACCCGTAGATGATAAATCAAACAACAACAAACATATGAAACATATGTATGAACTGCGGTTATGAAACGTATATATGCACGATCCTTCGCAGTAAAGCACTATTTGAGCAATAGTGAAAATCAGACCTGAAAAAAATTTCAGGCCTGTACGGGATTCGAACCACTGACCTCTGCGATACTAGTGCAGCGCTCTACCAATTGAGCTAACAAGCCAACTGGGAGCAGGCCATCAAATTAATTCGACATAAACCCGTAGATGATAAATCAAACAACAACAAACATATGAAACATATGTGTGAACTGCGGTTATGAGACGTATATGAGCACGATCNGTTAGCTCAATTGGTAGAGCGCTGCACTAGTATCGCAGAGGTCAGTGGTTCGAATCCCGTACAGGCCTGAAATTTTTTTCAGGTCTGATTTTCACTATTGCTCAAATAGTGCTTTACTGCGAAGGATCGTGCATATATACGTTTCATAACCGCAGTTCATACATATGTTTCATATGTTTGTTGTTGTTTGATTTATCATCTACGGGTTTATGTCGAATTAATTTGATGGCCTGCTCCCAGTTGGCTTGTTAGCTCAATTGGTAGAGCGCTGCACTAGTATCGCAGAGGTCAGTGGTTCGAATCCCGTACAGGCCTGAAAATTTTTTCAGGTCTGATTTTCACTATTGCTCAAATAGTGCTTTACTGCGAAGGATCGTGCATATATACGTTTCATAACCGCAGTTCATACATATGTTTCATATGTTTGTTGTTGTTTAACTGCGAATCTGTTGAGTAATCCATTCACAAAATTTGTTGCATAGTTTCTGTAAAAACAGCAAATTACACCTAGGATTGGAATGGAAAACAGCAAGTAAGGGAAAAATTCCTCAAGTTTCGATAATCATAGCGAGGAGATAAAGCGAATCGGATCTCTGATTATGACATCACGAGATCGACGATATGTAAATATCTATAACATTCATTTTGAAACAAACAGTGATCCTTACAATCTGATTGGCTTGCGAAAAATTCTAAATCGCGCAGCTTTTTGCTCTTACCGCATAAACTGTTTTTCAGGAAAGATAAAGAAAGAAATTGTGTGACAAATTTTGCAACTTTTGATCTCCAGACTGCTTCAAGAAAAAGACATGGATAAATTTTGGAGTTTTTTAAATGACAATAATGAGCAGGGGAACAATTCTTTAGGGGTGTTCCAACTTATAGTGTTCAATTAGATGACTATTTCAGTAATTTTTGTTAAAACTCTGCTCGAGATCCGTGTGAACCAGTGTCCATAAAAACTGAAGCAATCGAGCGATTCGGAGACTAAACAATGAAGATCGAAGGAAACAACTGTCTCATATTGTCAATGGATAAAGAAAAAACAAGTTTAAAAAAAAGGCTTTGATCAAAAAAAATATATATAAAAATAAAGCCCCGAATCAAGAATTTCAGTCCGATGCCAACTAGCACGACTAGATATTAATTAACTTGTTAAAAAATGTGCCGAAAGCATTATAAAATAGTTAACGTAAAAAACGGATTCAGACTGGTCCAACCGAGTTTATCATGTTTCCATAGAGCACACAACCTACATGACGTCATTTGTTCACTTTTTTCATAACCATGATTCAACCGTAACTATACCATTTCTGGAGGCTGAAACATGTAAACAATATATCATTCTCTTTTGCAAAGGGCATGTCCCGATAATATGCCCTTACAGCATTTCTTTCTTCGCTGACTTCTTCTTTGCACTTTTTAAATTCAATTTTCTATTTCTTTTCCTGTCTAAGTTCCTTTTTTTCTTCCCATATATTTTCCCTTTCCTCCTTTCTTTCTTTACTTCACTCCAGGGAGGATAAGAGAGGCAGAGAAGGGAAACGGTATTTCTTGAGAAAACGGACGCGGGCGAAACACGATAACATTGCGTAATATTTTGGAAAGCGAAGTCCTCTAGTTTCCTGGAATGGTTTATTTACGACTGAATCATAATCATCAGATAAAATAACGTAATGACGACGTAATTATGATGTCAGTTAAATGTTTTGATGACTCTTTACCCATGTTCTCGCGTCAGTCACCCGTGGTCACTCGTTGGTCATTCGCAATGGATGTTTAACAACGCGTTAATTGATCTTCGTGTCGCGTCGTGTCTTTTCACTCGCGTCGTACCATTTACTCGTTCGATTTCATCTTCTCTATCCCGTCACTCTCTTGACAGAGAAGTAACTGTTAATTGTCGCTCTGTTCGCTCAGTTGAAATTGCATACTGAAAGGACATTGCCATCAAATCAATCTCGAACCCAGAGTCTTTTTGGTGCTATGCAAAACGTACGCTCGTTCGGCTGAGTTAAATTATTTTAACGGCAGAAAGAATATTCCCGCTTAAGGTAGCAACTTCTGCATGTGAAAAGACGGTCGTATATACGAACGCTTCCCAATTTCTCGGCTTATGGGTTTCAAATTTTTATCCACATCGGGGCGATTTCTACCATCAATGCTCTGTTGTTGAACAACAAAGTACGGTGAATTCAATAAATCAGTACAAGCTGAAGAGTGGGGAGGCATGACCCTCCAGATTACCTTTCAATTCCTTTGCACCAACACTGCTTCACCTGTCTGTTGGATAAGCCTTTCCTTGCAAAATTTCAGTCCCAGGAGAAAATTTCGACATTTTAAATGAATGCAGAGGCCGTAAATAAAGTCGGTCGAAGGCATTACGTTTACCTGGCGACTGAAAATTAAATGAAAGCCAAGCTCTCTAATAGTCTGCATCATTTAGCGATTGACGTAGTCTCAGCACTCCCCTAATACAAACGGATTGTTGTCGAGGTCGGTAATCGAAATTTGTGTTTTGGGAGGTGATTCTGCGTGACTCGTAAAACGACGATAAAGTACGGACTGAAACAAACTATTTCGGTTTGGCCGCATACATAGTGAAGTCAGCACTATATGAAGTTAGAAGCGTTATAGAGACACTCTACTCATCGAGATCCTTGAAGAAGGGGGTATATCTGACCAGGTTAATACCTTAAAATCAAATTATGAGACGTCAAGCCCAATTCACCATGGTCTAATTTCAACAAGAAATTCAAAGTAAGCACCAAACACGGCCGAATTGTCCTTTATTTCCGTGACTCTTACCATAATTATATCAAATCCCTGTAACCATGGCCAGTCGAATGAGGTAAAAGGACAAAACGAAACTTCTTCCTGAGTTCTCTGGGAAAAATATTTTATAAAAACAAATCAAAGCAACTCACCTACAACAAAGACTGTAGAAAAAGTAGAAACAAAATAACATAAGGACCAGTGAGCCATGCTTACGATGTTAGATTTCAGCGTACGACATAATCATAGCTGTGTTGCGTGACTTTTTTCACGAATAAGGATGAACTAATTCGGACAGCGGAAATGAAAGTGACAAATTACGCCTTGGTTAGAGAGTACGTTATAAGTTATGGTTTCGGTCGTGAGTATGCAAAATTTGACCTAACTCAATTTTTTCCTCGTTTTGCCAAGCTTCGACATTCGTGCCTCGATTTTCCAATCGAGCCTCGATTGAAAAATCGAGGCTCAATACCGGAGGGAGCCTGGGGCGAGCGAGGGTAATCATGTTCTGGCATGTTCGTCGTGAACTCAGTACTTTTTTTAAATTTTAAAAAGAACGCGAGAGGGGGAAAGAATATTTTTACGCTGCTAAGGAGGTGGAGGAAATGATTGTAAGGTAAGAATTGGTTTAATTTTCGTCTGGTAGATTGTTTTACGGGAGAGTGTTTGTTCCTACTTGCTGCTTCATAGTTTTCGGTTACGTACGCTCAATACATTTTCGCGTTCCTATTTGAATTGTTCATTTTTAGCGAAAAAAGGAACTTAACTCTTAGGAAATGTTAAAATGGTTTGGAAAAAAAATACTGAGTAGAGGATGAGTACAACTAACATTTCGGCACCAGAATTCAAGACAGTTATGCGTATATATGCATAGCTATCAGCAGACATCCATATTAGTGGGAATTAATGGAAAAAAACTAAAGGAAAAATTTTGTCATCTTGCAAACAAATGTTAAGAAGAATAATGTTAACTACACTTATGTCCATTTTCCAAGACCATAATAGCTCGGAAACATTTCATGGAACATGTGAGAGTGTGGTGGGGTACTATAATTTTTTAAAGAAGCTAAATTTGTTATCCAATTTTGAATGCTTACAGTCAAATTGAAATGTAAAATACGGGTCAAGCTCGATTTGTTTCACTCATTCTATTCAGATAATTTTGTGGAACACAATCGCACTGTGATATTTTCGATAGAAGAGGAATCTATTTTAAATCAAAATGGACTAAATGTTCACAAATGAATAAACGGTGGAAGTTTTTAAAGAAACTGTGGTGCTGTGTCAGTGGGGGTAGATCAACTAAGATGAAATTGTAAACTGGCCACCCAAAAAATTTAAAAAGCTGACGTTTTGAGTGTTAACCCTTTGTCAGAGTTAAGGGCCAATACTTGAAACATCAGCTTTTTGACTTTCTGCAGTACAGTGGCTAATTTATTATTTGAACTTAGTTGATATAACCAAATTAAATGTTTACTAACTTAAAGTAACAAAGATTAACATGGACTTGACAATTAAGTTAAAAGTAATTAATTCTAATGAATTGGTTTGATAGTTCAGAACAAAATTAATAAGATTCCTAAAATGTTAAATATTAACTTTGTAATAGATCCACCAAACTAATCAACTGTAAAAGCTATGACACAACTGCAACAGTTCACTTTTAACAAAGTAATCAAGTGCTTGTTGAGCTGACCTTAATTTTCATATAGCCTGACCTAGCGCACTTTATTGACTGAAAAAAAAACCTTAATCCTTATCTGCGATCATGACTGAAAACATAAGGAAGACATTTTTGATATCAGTAACTGAATTGAATATTTTAATACCTATTAATTTAATAAATACAAGTTGATTTTACCATAGTAAATAATAAACTGAACATGAAATCCGCCATGTTTGTTGCTTAAGTTGAACCTGCTCTACATGAAATAAAATGTCAAAATATCCATGGGTAAATTAAAATAAAGGTGTGACTAACTAGGGACCTTTTTTTGGTTTGCATGCTTATGGATCATCATCAAAAATTAATATGAACAAGTTTTAACTTCTTGCCACAATTTTTTGTATATACATATATATGTGTGTACTGTATAATGTAATTTTAACTTTGCCTACTGTTCATTGCAAGGCAAGAATTAAGCCAAGGGGTCCCTACTCTAGATATTAAATCACTGTGCTCTCACCCAAGGAAGCCAATTTCACACCTTTCAGTAAAGTAAACATGGTTGTGGTTAAGGTTTATAGTTTCATAGAAGCCTAAATTTTTGCACTCTTTTAGAAGTCTTCTATATTGCATGTGCAACATCAACTATTAAATTCAAATCATAAATAATTCCAGTATTCGATCTAGTTCATGTTTTTGTTTCATTTATGTGGAATATTCTATTCTGACACTAAATGAAATGGTTGTGGACTCTCACTGATGCAAAAACAAACTAAAACACAAACAAACAAACAAACAAACAAAAACCAAGTTACCTCATATATATTAAGTACTTCCAAAGCAGCTGGCAATAATTAAAGAAAACTAAAAAATGTAGGTGTGCTTACTATCCTTAGATGAGGGGACAATCTTAAAATGATTAGCATTTCAGATTATGTGGGTACGAGTACAATTCTAGTATGAGCCTACTTATACATTTTGCATATGTTGATTTACTGATCATTTGATACTTCATTTGTTGTCTTTGTTCTTGTGTTTATGTTTTGTTATGAAACAAGGACAAAAGCTTAGTGTGTTTTTCAAGCAAAAGAGAATGGAAGTTGAACCTGAAAACATGATTTGAAGTTGAATCAGTTACTTGGGGTCAGCAAGCATGAAATGAAAAATATATTTTGCTGTTTTTTGACATCTTATATTCAAGATTGGTCTAAAATTTTTTAAAATAATGATTCCACTTTATGATGAATTGTTTAATTACCACAATAAACAACTAAAACTTTGAAAAGCATAAACTAAGACTCTGACATACTGGTGATGGTTTGAATGATGTCAGTTCTTGGAAGTTTGAAGATCATAGTTTGACCCAGACCATTTGTTTTTGAAATGACCCAATATAAAATGTGATGCAATACATATGACCCACTTTGACTAAATTCTAAACTGAACACTTTTAGTTTCCTATACAACACTAACCATATTTACATTACGAACTGAAGTTTTGGGTTCTACACTTGTTGTTTATCATCAAAACATAGAACATTTTTAACTTGTTGCTTTATAGCAGTCTCTATTGAAGAAATTTTGAAGGACTCTAGCCAGCCTCTACCATTTTTGATGACCATGAAAATAAATTATGTGAAATGTATGGGAAAGTGAAATTTTATTGCTTTGTCCCAAGTTGTGTTTCTGGAGGTCTTTTAAATTACCCTAAGCAGTTTGATTGTGCATTTTTATATTTGGATCTGCTCTACATGAAATAAAATATGGAAACATCCACAGATAAACAAAAACAAAGGTGTGGCTGACAAGGGTCCTTTTAAAGTCTTTTTAAACTTTTAACATTCTGGGTGATTTTCCACCATTGGCTTTTTTCTTTTTGAGGTTGTTCTCCTGTCCTTCTTTTTCCTTTTCCTTTCATGTTTAACATGTTCGTTCCCCTCTTCATCTTTATGTTCCCTCTTTTTCTCTTCTTCTGTGTGCTCCCTCACTTC